TCATCATCATTATTTTTTCAAGATGACCGTAACATATAACAAGGATGACCGTGATTCCATAATCCGAGCTACAGATAATGTCGAGTTTGTCTCAATAGGGGCTCGGTTAGCGGATACAAATATGTTTAATCAATGTCTTTTTAACTTTTTGCCGTATTTTCAGTACAGGACATAGATAGTAAATTGCATATTGCTAGTAAACAGTGAAATATTGATCACAACATTAAAATTTTAATACAAATTGACAGAGATACGATAAAAAGTTTTAAAAAAATTGATTAAACATCTTTATATCCGCTAACCGAGCCCATGTGTATGTTTCCACGGGAAGCAGATTAAAAGCTAACTTCGTCTTGATATATCAATAAATTTTTTTATACAATTTGACAAGGTTCCTCCTTCTAATACGCTATCCGAACAAGACTATAAAATTATAAATTTGGTAATATTTTGCCGGAGCTCACCTTCATTAGTTTGATCGTAGTTTTTTTAAAAACATTTTCTGTTAATATATAAACATAAACATAGATATAAATAGATAGCAAACTCGTGCAATTGGATTTTTCTAGGTCTGTTTGATTTCATATTATAGGTTAAAACAATATGTTAATAATCGTTTTTACCTGTATAAGAATGAGTTTTAGTAGATCTAATCAGTCAATCAAATGGTTTACCCTTGTTTCACTTCCAATGTTGACATTCTTTTCCTTTCAATAACTGAACCCGCCTATAGTTCTTGCGTAACCTATCTCTAGCTAAGGGGTTCATTTGAAGTTCACATGAACAGGGATTTAATGAAGTTGAATTATTCACTTGCAAGTGAATAATTCATTAACGATGTCTCTTTGTTTATTTTGACAAAACTAAATTAAACTTGCTGCGAAAAGCAAATTGTTATTTCAATATTTCACTTTCATTAATGATTGAACAAAAAACAATCATATCTTATTTTTTTCTATATCTCGTAGCTAATGCCCCTTTAATATTTGATTGGAATAATTCTTACATGTTTGATGTACTTTTCAAATTATTTAATTCTCTATAAATTTAGTTTCGAATACCATGCACTGGATCACGACAACCAGGAACATATATATTGTTCCCAGCGACAACTGAACAGTAATCAATTAGTATTCCTTTTCATAAAGAAAACGATTATTTGTTTTTAAAAGATTTGTTCTATTTAATTGAGATATTATTACTTTTCAAGGATATATCATTGAACAGTATTGAGGGTAGTATATATAGTTTAATAAACCCAAGTTATTTGAATTTTTTTAAACATTTTTTGTCTGGACACTTACACATATGAACCTTTCATAATTTTAGCAATTTTATTTTTGATATCAGTTGTTCAGTATCACTCTGAGGATGTAAACTTAAAGATTTGAGTCATTGCAAAATTTTGACTCACTCTGTTGGTTTTCTATTATGAACCTTTTTTCATACATGTCATAGTGAAAGAGCCTGAGACAGATTCATTTAGGAATTATGTTCTACTGATATTTTCATTCTCGGCAATTTACATTGTTTTTTCAAAGTACATTTATTGGTAAAACTCCTGTGGGGGGTTGGCAGATTTTTCATAAAATTTTCTGACCTCGATAAAGTTGAAAATAAATATTCTGGCTTAACTTTCTAGAAAATTTATTCTTACCGCCATGTATAATTTTTAGTAAAAAAATAAAAAATAAAATAAAGAATCTTGCTCTCAAGTGGTTGAAATAAATTTTCTGACCCACAAAATATTTTAAATGAATATTCTGACCCGATCAAATCTACCCGGCTCTCACCTCAGAATCAAATGATCGTTCCCTTACCTGAAAAAGTTTGCAAAATTTCAATATTTAATTGTTCGGGAAATTCATGCATCAACCCTGAACAGAACACATCTTTGTTATTTAGCCAGACTATAATTTGAAATTATCTGGATTTTATATAGAAATGAACTTTAAGTAGTCCAAGGGTAAACAATTTTCAACATGCTCAGTGATAAACCTTCTGACTACCTTAAAATGTTGTTTTTTTTGGTTCATTATTCATGAGTTTTCATTTGTTTCGTTTGGTTAGAAAAAATAGTCCATTATTGATATTTCTGATGAAACTAAATAAAATAATTGATTATTTTTAACATTCGTTTAGAAAAATTTCAAATCAAATTAGTAGTTTTCTTTTTTTTTTTCTTTATAAATTACGGTCATCTTTTACCAGTTACGGCCATTCCTGTTTTGAATCGCTGGTACTGTAACGGTCATCTCGATTGTGAATAACGGTCATCTTACCGATTTTTTTAAATCGAATTTCCTGTTTCATAAAAATTTCTCGGTAGTAATTTGTGATTTCCGTGTGAATCTTTTATAAATTTATATCATACAAATGTATGCTTTATATAGAATATATCATAGAAACATTTTAACAGACAATACCGATTCTGACCGAATTCAGCGTCCGCCATCTTGGATGACCGTGAATCGAATTACGATCATCAGCTTCACCCCAGTGAACATAGAAAAAATAATAGGAAATAAACAGAGAGATAGAAATGTTTGGCAAATAAAATACACATTAAAAAGTGAAATATGATTTGTTTTAATATAAATCAGACAAAGAGGTCTTACAAATCAATATCATGTAAAGCTAAATGGAGAAATATACAATATTAGTAGGTAGGAAAACATATGCTTTAGAAATTGGAAGAAAAGCTAGGCCCGCTAAATCTTTTTTCATGTTTCGTGGCGGGTACACAATAATTGTATGCTTTTCCTACAATATACGAATATTATTTTATCATCCCAGCTCCTTTGTTCTACCAGGGGTGATCTGAGCCGGATCATCCCTACCAGATCACCCCAGCTTAAGTTTTTTTGTTTTGCATGCTTTCCTTTGTTTTGCAACATTTTGGCGGGAATGCCTAATCCACAATAAAACTTAGAATTATTCTTATAAAGGATAGAATAAAGACACACTTTCAAAATTTATGTAGAAAAAATCCATTGTCTATGCTGGGATTCAAACTCAAGACCTTTGGCATATCAACTCACGACACATACCCCTTCACCAGATGACTGGATACCAATTCTCAGTAATTTAATATATTTAAAGGAAGCAAGATGCTTTCATAAGTGGACCGAGTTGGCAGACCTTTATTCAGTGGGATATTAACTCTTTTCATAAAGAAGGCGAGTTGTCAGACTGATTGTTCAATGGGATTTTACACTTTTTCATAAGTGGGGAGAGTTGGTAAACAAGAGTGGGGCGATTTTTTAGAAAATGGCGATTTAGTGTGGGCCGATTGGCCAGTGGGGCGAGTTGACATGGTTTCATATTTAAACATCGTGTTCGGGGGTCATAGAGGGTATATATTATATAGTAATATATAAAGTATATTATAATGGTTGTGTGGCGTTCTAAACTAGATTTTATGAATTGTAAATGGTTTTCCGTCTAATCTAAAACAGCTGGGATGTAAAATAGTTATCCCATTCGGACTTGGTGTCTCAGTGTTAGATCACCCTCTGGCCTCCGGCCATCGGGGTGATCTTACACTGACACACCGCGTCATCATGGGATAACTATTACTGAATGCATGACTTCGTTCACAAAACAGGATATGTAATAGTTATACACCGAGGGATAGGTGTGTCTGGATAAGAAACTCCGTCGGCCGGAGGCCGGAGGGGTTTCTTATCCAGACACACCGTATCCCGAGTTGTATAACTAACTTACACCCCATTCTAAACCCTATATTTGTTAACATTGATTATTAAATGATAAAAAAAAAACGATAGCGCCATATTTATTGATAATATCAAACCATGATTTATAAGAATATTTTTTTTGTTACATGAAACCCCACTAGTAACCTTTCTTTGATTATCTTCGTTCAAACTTTGACAAGTGATTATATTTTACAAATGTCAAGTTGTTTTGCATATTCCCGTTACATCCGTGTGCTAATATGAATCAGCAGGTCAAGGTTGACTATTTCGTGTATTCTTATTACAAACAAAAAAATACATCATGCTCCTGGTATACAGTTGTCAATATGGACGGGTATAAGACGGACGACATTTTGTGGCAAGCGTTGGATTTGGTAGAAGAGACTAAAGATAAAGGCAATATTATAACCCAAAGTACTTACCTGTATCAGTCTAATAAAGGTAATCATAACTGTATTTTATATCTTACGATTTGATCAAAAACAAAAGCCCCCCTCCCTCATCTCGAGAATAAACAAACATTCATATTCGAACATACTAAGGAATAGGTGTGTCTGCATTAGCAATCAGGGGCTGATCCAGCCGGGGGTTCCCAACTCAAGAGAAAAAAGAGGGGTGGGGGGGTGTCCAACCATTCAAATGCATTGATCTTTTAAATAAAAGTCGGTTCCAACCCGCGGAACCCCCCAACCCCGGATCGGCCACTGGGTAACCGGGGGAGGGGGTCCGGGAGTTAGAATCCCATTTTTTTAAAAAGATCAATGCTTTAGAATAGAGACATATATATGACTGGGATAAAAAAAATAACCTTCAAGCAAAAAAGTATTTAAAGGATTAGTTTTGTATTCCATATAGATGCTTATTGGAATTTCCGAAAATGTGTATTTGTAGTGAACAACACTATTAGTAATTTCTTATGTTCATAATCAATTTCTATTGTTACGAATAACAATGGACTTTGTTTGCGGGATGTAGAAGCAGGGGTTTCCAGAAACCCCGCTCGTCACATCCTGTGGTCAAAATCCATTGTTATTCGTAACAATAGATCTATTCAATTTACACTAGTTTCAGAAATAGAAACTATGAAGTATAACAATAGAACTGGGGTGTAACAAGGGGAAATATATGCGTACCAAACGTATATGGCGTCGGTTTATCTGTTCACATCAGTTCATGTATTGGTATAGCAGAATGATGGATTGTAGGATAGCAGAAACCCTACATAGAAAAAAATCAAGAAATGTAGGACAACGGTTGGTGTTAACAAAAAAAACAAAGCCCTCGATGTTTGTGTTTATATTTTATATATTCCATGTATGTAAAGTCTAGATAGAAGTCACATAAATTCTTTCCAAAACGTTGGATAATTGTAAAATGATCCTGTACACAATGAATAAAAATAAGTTCGACTAAAAGGGTTTAAGTCATTTTTATACTGACCATTTTCATAAAAGTAGTATAGAAAATATATTCATTTATTGATACGATTACTTCTTTAGTTTCATTTATCAATTTGAAAAATAAACCTTATGGATTTATAAAACTTAAGCAATATCAGTTTAACATTGTGTGTTTGCATCAAATCATGGCAACTGATAACAGAACAGTCATTACACAAGTAAAATCAACTATAATTCGATTGGAACTACCAGTCGGATCACCAGTTAATCGTTCATAATAGTAAATTGGTTGATTAAGACCTTCACTTAAAGTGTAAAACCCACTGCCGTCTGGTTTCCAACAAACTGCCTCACCCTTGGGTTCGTCTTTGTATTTCAGGTTAATTGGGTCTGAGACAAGTGCAGAAAGAAAGTCTCCATCAGTGACATTCCAATAGTAAAGATTGTCTACGGATATAATAACCATTTCCGTTCCGTTCGGTGATATATCCCCTCCTGTTGGATCAGGGTGTTCAGTATGGAAAGACATACTAACAAGATCAGTTAAGTTGGTTATGTCTGGATTGTTCCAGGCGGAGCTTGGAACATAGACCGCCTTAGCTGGAACACCTGTGGTTTTAGACACAAGATAAATGTCTCCTTTGGGGTCTACCATAATAATCTCACAGTTTTGTTCTGTCCATCTACAAAGCAGTGATACAATTCAATTAATTGTTGGTGCTGTAAGTTCTGACTTGAACATTTATACATTTGAATTAGTACATAAAATATTTTATGAACACATGTTTTATTCAAAACAGTTTTTTTTATAAAAAGAGAAAAGTTATCTTTCTATCAATCTAATTAAAATATAGAACTCGGATTTCGTTATACTGCATACGATATGCAGTATAACGAAATCCGAGTTCTATATTTTAATTAGATTGTCTTTCTATCAATTTATTATACAAAATCACAACACACAGACATGAAAATTTAATACTATTAAAGTACTGAAAGGGAAAGGGATATACACGTGCATGAGACTTGATTAAGATGTATCTTACTTTTGTAGATATTATTCTAGCAAAAATATGTTACCGGTATTTAGGAGCATAATGATTAGTAGAATAAAATTGATAGCTGTCTCACTGGCAATTAATTATCATCACAATCTCAACGTTTTAAAATCTTCGGTGGCGTTTTAGTACTTGACGATATTTTTCTTTATGTGCATGTTTTTTTCTCTCTCTCTAGAAATAGTGTCATGAAAATAACACTTCAAAATTTAGTTCGTCTGAAGCGGTTTTCTCGATTTGTCTGCATCAGGAACGTTCAAACCTAATCATTTTAAAGCCATGTATAATTTATTCGTAGAAACGCAAGTGCTATATGACCACAAGGAATCTAAAGTAAATAGCCAAAATGCATGAAAGGTCAACATTGCCTGAGGGAGTTGGATCCTTAGTTTCTTATTAAAAGCACTGCCTACGGAGCTGATGATACCCTCGGGGGTTGACGATTCATCGGCAGTGTTAACGACCCAGTGCTAGTTAATGAAAGTAACACTAAATATATTTCGTGTGTCCGAAACACTTATCTGGATTTACCCTTATCCGGAACGCTCATACCTAAACATTGTAAAGCCAGGGGTTTATAAATACGTAGAAACAATAGAAGCTGTATGATCAAAATGAATAGATCTTGTCGATACTTATATTTTGGCATGGCGCAAGGTACTATTTTAATGGAATACGACGTCTTTACTCTAATTTCATAGGATATGATCTGATTGATATATTGTCTTGGATACATGATTTTTTAATCAGTAAACCGACTAATTTAAGTTCGGTACGTTGTGTCTTGTGTTTTTTGTAAGTTGTTTTTTGAGCTTTGTATCGATCTGAAGAAACCACTCCTTTCAACTTTCTGATTCTTGATGACTGTTTTATCATTTTTTTTTTTTATTTTTTATTTTTTTATCTTTTATTTGTTTTTCAATAGTCAGGATATTACAATACCCCTACAATCATCACCTGACTATGGTTTTTGGGGTAAACATTGAAAAATATGTACAAGACTATCCATTTTGTTTTTTGAATTTATGTTCATAATATAGTTATTGAAGAAGAAAAATATAGCTACTCACACTCACACTTTCTCTTACTACTAACACACAGTCACTGCAATCTTACCATTAGTATGCATGCATGCATGTCTATATATAAAGTAAAAACCAAATATCAACTGCTCATTACAGTATAATTTAAAGTATACATGATAATAAATCACGAAAAAATTGTATGTAGTGGGGACCAGAATCTTTCATAAGCATTTGCTCTATGATTTTTGTTTGAAGTATAAAATTCGTTTGGTCGGTATTGTTTTATTCTGGATTTAAGTCCTATTACACTAGGAGCTATATTTCTTAAAAGAGGGACGAAAGATACCAGAGGGACAGTCAAACTCATAGATTAAAAATAAACTGAAGATGTAGTTTTTAGCTATAATAATTAACAAATTTATAAACAAGCTCTTAGTAATAAATCCCATTAAAATTTCTTTCCTTCTGATGCTGAATTGCTCATCGAATAATTTGATTTTCTGTAAAAATGACAACCAAAAATTGTAGGTAACATTACAATCATAAAATAAATGTTCTATTGTTTCCTCTTCCTCATTACAGAAGGTACAAAGACTTGTTTCCTTTTGCTTAATTCTATATAAAAATGTATTTGTAGGTATAATTCTATGTAATATTTTATATTGAAAATTCTTTAAATATGTATCCCTACAATATTCTGAGATTTCAGAATTTGTTACTTCCTCCCATTTAAAAAATTTCTCATGTGTGAGTATGCATATTTTATCCACAAGATCTCTATATACAAATTTCAACTTCTTATTTTCCAAGATCTTTTTAGAAAATGCATCAAAAGAAACAAAATTTTCTAAGTTCAAATTACAATAATCTTTGAAGTATTTTTTTTTATATATTTTGGAATGTTAGATAATAAACTATAGTATTTCAAAAAATTTTCCTTATTAAGTTTTTGTCTTACTTATTGAAATGTTAACAATGATTTACTTGGACTATCTACAATGTCCTTTATAAATTGTATACCATATAACTTCCATTTCATATAAACAGGGTATTCAGATATTGGTATAAAGTTTAAAATATCCAATGATAAAATTTCTGGAACACATAACTTTGTATAAGGCTTTGCCATGTGTAGACAATAAAATATGTCTTTCCAAAATGGATTTTTTAAGCAATTAGAAATTACTTTAATCTTATCATTTTTTAATCAGTTATTATTGACTTTGAACTGGCTTTCAGTAACTGACTAATTTGTGTCTTATGTGTTTTGTAAGTTGGTTTTTTTAGCTTTGTATCGATCTGAAGAAACCACTCCTTTCAACTTTCTGATTCTTGATAACTGTTTTATCATCTTAATTTCTACCGGGCAAATTGTTTTGTCAATAGTTTAGGGTGGGGGGAAGGGGAGATGTTTAAACAAACAAATTGATGTATTGCTATCGTTTTCATTTATGGTATACAATCTATGATAAGATGCATTGTCCTGGATTTAATCAGAGGTGTATGTACATACTAATTTATCAAGTAAGCATGCTGAATATATTTATCCCCAAATAACTCAAACTTACTAAAGCTTATTATTACATGTCAATTTTGTCTACATAACTGCATTGGTAAAAGATAAGACAAAATTCAAACTCAAATGTATATACCGAATTAAAACCAACTGTTCGGAGAACAATTGAAAGTTTTTCAATCCAAATTTACTTTGATGAGAAAATTTGAATAAAAAATAGTAGAACATATCTTATCTCAAAATGATTCCCAAAATATTGTCTTTTTTAAAACGCTTTTTCATAGTATAATGGAGATAATAAGCCACATTCGGTTAAATAAAAGTCACTTCCAGGGTCAAATACAAGCTTTCTTTACGCTGATTCAAAACAATTATATGGTTTCTATTTAGTTTTGCTTGAATTAGGGGTGATAAGTTGCTACTGTTGCGGTTTTTAAAGAATCTCCACTTAGAAATACTTACGAGAAATGTATAGTGGCATCAATGTCTACTGTTAATGTTTGATTGATAACAGCTGGCTCCCTTACTCTGTAGATAACGTCTCTAGAACCATTCCAGCTATTTCCTCCAAAGTCACCTTAAACATAGTCCAGTTAACAGTTAAGCATACAATTAACGAAAAACAGAAATGACAAATATGAATCACTGACAAACACTGAATTACAGACTCCTGACAACCACTGAATTACAGCCTTCTTAACAAGAATATATAGATGTTCTACAAAAAAGAATACAAGGAATAAATAATACAATATAATATGAAATATAATTATAGTAGAATGGTGCGGAGAATCAAGTCAGACCGAATTCAAGTATTCTGAACTTTTGTGTTCTTCTTATAAATGATTGTTTACAGAATCAAGAATTTACATATTTTGCTAAAATGTAAGGTCACCGTCAACAGCTTATAGAAGCTTAACTGATATATCATATCTATGTATCTCAATAAATTTTCTTTTCTGTTATCTCCCATTTTTTATGGAAAGGACACTCGATTATCACAGCTGCATGCGGGGGGTTACGTTGGATATTAACACGATGCAGATCTGCATTCAGATAACTTGACATATTTCTAAATCGTGTATCATTTATATTTTTTTAATAACCATAACAAACCTATGGAAAGGTAGCTGTATTGATTAGGTTTCACATTCTGCTTGAATATATTTATATTTCGAAAAGTCAAATATCGTGGGTTATGAGATTCCATTCTAAAGTAGTAGTTGGAGAAACTATTTTTTGGTTGTTTAATCTATTAAATATTTTCATATCTATCTTTAATAAACTGAAGATCTAAATAACTGTTTGATTTAACATTTCAAATTAAAAAAAAAAAAATTCGGTTTTCAATCCTATGCATTTTTAGTCGGTTTAATATATTTTCTTTTTTTACAAAAACCTGTACTTTTATTAAATGCCATGAGGTTGTTTCAGGTCAACTGACATCCGTGTTCTGGTGAATATGTAGACAACCAAACAGGATTTTAGTCCATAAAGCTGAACTAAAATTTTGTTTTGATAGCAGATAATGACTTTTCATAAGACAAAAAATAAACGTTTTTAAATGGTTCGCTTTAAGTTTAATAATGTGTCCATGAACATCCGTGTACTTTAAATTTTACTCATAGAAATTTGAAATCAAAATTAACCAGATTGTATCTAGATTAAGTATTGTACTTCGAAATAGTCCACTGCAATACACAGAATTGTATATCAATTGTGATCTATAAGGAAACTTTAATTACTGAACAGATTTGAATATTTACATAAAATTCAGAGATTAGGAAATTACACAACAAACGATTTTCTTCCAAAAAGAGAAAGCAGATAAAATGGTGAGAAAGAACAAGATAGCTCAGGCCATTAGTTTTCTCTTTTCAATTGATTCACATTTTGTTCATTGTTGAAGGACGTACAGTGTCCAATACTATTAGCTGTTTACATTCTCGTTATTTGGTCTCTTGACGATAGTTATATCATTGGCAAGCAAACCACATCTCAGTATTTGTATAAATTAATGCATAAGACTTTAATGTATACATGTATATCTCTCTCCTTTTACTTCATCTGTCTCTTAGGTTATTTGTTTCCGGCATGATATATACTGTGTACTTCTAGTTTTCATCATTTGCAATCAAGATATTTTACCATGATAACTGATGAACGAAATAGCATTTGCGATGAACTTTTCTAGAGTATGAAATGTGTGCAACCCGCATCATCCACGTTAAACTTCATCACCAATACCGTAAGTACGATCTTATTGGATCATCCACGTTAAACTTCATCACCAATACCGTAAGTACGATCTTATTGGATCATCCACGTTAAACTTCATCACCAATACCGTAAGAACGATCTTATTGGATGTGATACTAATTACTTTTAAAGGCACGATAACTTATATACTTATATACAGCGGACCTATTAAAGAAGGCATATCAATATGTCTTTGAATTCTAAACATAAAGTTCCATAAATCGACTTTCAAGTAAGAAAATGCACGACTAAACTTTTAGATATCTTAGGAGAAACATGTTGTGGCATTAGTCGTCTTTCAATTTAAGCTTAAAAATAAAGATTATTCGATTGAAATTCGGGAAGATCGAAAAAAATCAATTTATAGATATAAGAAGATGTGGTATGAGTGTCAATGAGACAACTCTCAATCCAAGTCACAATTTGTAAAAGTAAACCATTATAGGTCAAAGTACAGCCTTCAACACGGAGCCTTGGCTCGCACCGAATAGCAAGCTATAAAGGGCCCTAAAAATGACTAGTGTAAAGCCATTCAAACAAACGGTCTAATCTATATAAAAAACGAGAAACGAGAAACACTTATGAACCACATCAACAAACGACAACCACTGGACATCAGCTTCCTGACTTAGGACAGGTGCAAACAAATGCAGCGGGTTTAAACGTTTTAATAGGCGCCAACCTTTTAGCAATGAATGGAGCTAAATGTAAGTACTGCCACATGCATGTACACGTATCAATTTATGAATTTTTGATCGATTTAAGATATGGTGCATCCAACAAACATCAGTAAACCGACAAGTCATAAAGCGTCGAAAATGCCTAAATGGTTTTTTTTTATTTCGGCAAAAGACCAAGAAGTTTTCCACAACAAACACAGGTATTCCTTAGAATCCCGCAAAATATCTTCTGCTATCCTTGTTTTGTCCTGAAAAATATGACATATTTGCCAATGGACGTTCAGCAAAGAACCATCGATTAATAATAAAAAAAATACGGTAATTTTTCTATCGATTTCTGCCAATTTTAAAATCATGAGGTTTGCAATTTACGTTATTTTCTTCAAAAGATATAGTTTATAGACTACTTTGAAGTTGAGGGGAATTTCGGTCGAAACATTTTGTACGCGTGTTTTTATCCTTACCAATAAACAGACAGTATTCCTGACCATGACAAACACCATATGCAATATCTTCCCAGTCATTGTTAATGGCCTTGTTTATTGAAATTTTAGACTGAACTTCACCAGTTATAGCGTTGATAGCATAAATAAATGGTCCATCTCCACTATCATTGTGAACATACAAAATGTCTGTATGAACTCGGCTTGCTGCAATACCTGATACTTCCGTGATTAAAGGATCAGTCACTACAGACAGTTGTTTTACTTTGAAGTATGGACGCGTGGAACCTAAATAAAAACAAAAACAATACTATTACTAATAGTTGATTTGGCGTTTACTGATCTCCAGAGAAATCACATCAAAGTCGATTGTTTAAAGTCATTTGATTTAAAAACGTTTGACAACAATTTATGTATATGATCTTGAACCATTGTTTTCATAAAAAGTTTGAAAGTGGTAAATCTAATCTCTTTATTAACAAAAAACTTACGTCTTTCAACATGCATATTAAGTTTTGGATTTTCAAATATTTTGACATCGATTATCGTAGACGACTTTCGAATTCGTGCATGTTCCCGCAAATTTCCTATGTGCCAATGCTTATGATATTACGTCACAGTTAGAACTGATTGTTCGATGACATCATTTGCGCCGATTGACCTCGGGTCAAACGACGTAACTCATTCATACAAAAAAGTCGAGGTTGGGATCGAAATGAGCATCTGGTTCAGTAAAATTGTTACCGTTTAATGTTATTCAATAATTTCTATTTTTTTTAAATTACAGAGACTGGTATCATAGTCCACAGGAAACAGATATGTTTTTCATCAATTAGTCCATATAGGAGTTATAAAATTGTCCTTATGTTCTGCTATAACACCACTGTACCAAATTAGGAAAATGATTTAGCGATAGTAATCATCAAGTTTAATCACGCCACATTCTCTATGTGCCGGTCCAACGTCAAGAGACTTTTAGTTTAGTGGTTGTTGTCGGTTGATGTCTATCATATTCGTTACAGGTTTAGAATATAGGTATGTTTTTGCTAATTGGTGAATGCCATACGGTAACCTATCGTTGCTTAAATCTTAATCATTTGGGCTTTGTTGGATAGTTGTCTCATCGGCAATAATACCTCACCTTCTTATATTTAAAAAGTCTAGATCTAGTCCTTATCCTAACTTGGTATTTTCTTGTTTCTAATTTTGAACTTTAACTGCTTACACTTCCGGGGTACTATGTTCAATCCATAACGTCATTTCAAGAGGGTTTGGGTTGCTCTTTCGTTAATTATCTGAATGGATGTGGGGTATACGTGATAGAAACAGCTACTCAAGAACATAAAAAATATTGAAACGATCTCTGTTTGTCAACAAACGATCTTCAACTCAACGATAAACATTGTATACATTAATTCATATTAAAGAACTAAAGTTTGTTTACCCTTCAACTCTTTGGACCCGTGATCTAATGCTCAATAGACGTGTACACGAAACTAGTGACGTACGTACGTCTAAACATATCTCGAGCTCGTTTGTCGCGTTGATTTAAAATCATTTTTTTTTATTGCGATACAATTGCGTTTTATAATTGTAGTTCATTTTTTTCATTCCCATAAGTACTTTGACATCAATGAATATTTATAGAATAACTAATCGAAGAATTCAAATAGAGAAAAATATTCAACGAGTGACCGAACAACACATTAATTCACGAATGCGCGTAGCGCATGAGTTAATTATCAGTGTTGTTCGGTCACGAGTTGAATATTTTTCGATATTTGAATTCTTTGATTAGTTATTCTTTTTATTACATTGGCAAATGGTTTTTTTTTTAAATTAAAGTAGAAAACGTAAGGAACTATATCTGTTTCTACGCATTCACAATTTGTTTTGATCCGACGTTATCGACGTCTTGACAACGCCTATTGTTGTATGACGTCAGAGGAGTGATATAACCACGTTTATTTCACATGTGAAATTATCGGTTTTTATTTCACTGGGAAATCAATGTAATTCATTGCAACCAATGTAATAATTGAATTTATTATAAAAACATTCAAAGTTTTATATTTTCACTCCTCATTAAAAAAAAAAAAAAATCAAAACAATTCTATATAAAAAAAATCGTGTATGAACGACTACAGGCTATTGCTTTATGTAAAAATAAGGAACTGTGGTATGCTTGCTAAAAAACTATCAGTCATAATACAAATGACGTGGATGTACGCAACTAAAGGTCACTTTACGGCCTTCGTCAATGTACAAAACCGATACCGTGAGGTAAGCTACATGTCAAACTGTAAAAAAGTTCAAACGATAAAAATCAACGGGTTGACAAAAAAAAAAAGCTTAAACAAAAAAGTTATAACAAAAATATGACAGATAGCAACCACGACATTCACTGAATTACAGATTCATGATTTCGGACAGGTACTTAAAGAAAGTGGTATGGTTTATATAGAAATAAGAAGATGTGGTATAATATCCAATGAGACAACTCTCCACCAGAGACCAAATGAAATAGAAGTTTACAACTATAGGCCACCGTACGACCCTCAACAATGAGCAAAACCCATACCGCATAGTCAGCTATTGACGAAATGACAAATGTATAAAACAATTCTAACGAGAAAACTAACGGCCTGATTTATGTAAAAAACAACAAACGAAAAATATTAACATGTTTGTTGATACTCCACCCTACCCTTACCTCGGACAGTCATATTGTGTAAGGCCACAACATAAGAACAAACTGTTTAAATCAGCCAAAAAAGGCTCTTCTCATTAGATTTGCAAGAAGCACATAAACAACCAGCAAAGACGAAAGACACAGGGTAAAAAAAAAAAAACGAAACAAAACTCAAGTGTAACCGCATTTACTGAATGCTAGTTTAAAGCCAATTACAACTGATAGATAATGATTTCGAGGAATTAAATATCAATTAGTATACACCAAACAGATTTAGTATAATGACCTTATAAAAAAGTCTGAAAAAAACATGACATTGTGCAATGGAAAAATATTAGTACATTGTATCGACAGGATGTAGAACGGTTACCATAGTAACTTTCCATAGCTACACATACAGCAATATATAATTCAGTTATGTTTTTAATTTATTTAAACACAATCCATGTAAGTATAATAGAAGTACTGACGGACATACGTTTAATATATATTAAATAATATAAAAAAAAGAAGAAAATGTGGTATGATTGCAAATGAGACAACTCTCTACCAGGGACCAAAATGAAGAAAAAGTTCGCAACTATATGTTAGCGTACGGCCTTTAACAATGCGCAAAACCCATACTGCATAGTAAGCTGTAAAAGGCTGCGACTTGACACAAGTGAAACAATTCAATCGAAAAAAAAGACTAACGTCCTGATTAAAGTACAAAACAACAAACGAAAAACAAAAAAGATATACAGCGATAAACAATAACCACTGAATTACAGGAAATCTACAAATCTTTAGACATTTCCTGACTAAAGATGTAGAATGTGCAACATAAGTGTTTGAAAAAAAACCCTACAGTTTTATAGTATGCCTGAAATTGACAAAACTTTTCACTGATAAAATAAAAATACATTCGTTGACAACTTGTTTTTCAATCATGCGACCTCAGGGTTAAACAATGTACGTTCAGAGTAACCTGTATAAATTACCATTATTCTTGATTTTACACTGCAAACATACATTTTTGTTCCGACAGTGCTAACCCTTTCTAAAAGAATTTAGAGTACGACCAATTTCGCCTGTATTCTTTCACTCACACGGTTAAATTCTAAAAGTTGTCAATTAAGTCCTACTAGAAAAAAGTAAAATAACAAAAATATCGAACTCCAAGAAAAATTTAAAACGGAAAGTCCTTTATCAAAGGCAAAAACAAAAGCTCAAACACATCAAACGAATGGAAAACAACTGTCATATTCTCCTGACTTTGTACAGGCATTTCCTTACGTAGAAAATAGAAATTGGATATACTTAAAATACATATATACTGTTTCACAATTCTTCGTACTTCAGTTGAAACAAAAGCAATTAAACGATAAATGTTGCTGCTGAAGGCATATTGATACAACATTGCAAATTTTATATGTTTTTGGCAAACTTTTTATAGAAGTACACCGCTAACAAAACATGAGTAATTAGTATTCGAAGGCAATACTTGGCATTACTTCCAACATAATTTTAGTTTTGGTAAACAATGTGTATCTTATATATTTTTGGGAAATACTCAAACTTGTTGTTTTGGGCCATCTTCAGGCGTTCATAAAATTGAGAATGGAAATGTGGAATGTGTCAAAGAGACAACAACCCGACTAAAGAGCATAAAACAACCCAAGGCCATCAATGGGTCTTCAACACAGCGAGAAAATTCCGCACCCAGAGGCGGGCTTCAGCTGGCCCCTAGACAAAAATGTGTACTAGTTCAGTGAAAATGGACGTCACACTAAACTCCGAAACATATAAATGAACTAAAATTAAGAAAACATACAAGACTAACAAAGGGCAGAGGCTCCTGACTTGGGACAGGCGCAAAAATGCGGCGGGGTTAAAAGTGTTTTGTGAGATCTCAACCCTCCCTCTATACCTCTAGCCATTGTAGAATAAACAAACACACAGCAATACGCACAGTAAAACTCAGTTTTCTTTGATTTCCTGTTTAGAAGTAAGTGATAAAATTGTTAAAACCTTAAACTACACACATTGTTTTGTGATACTATGCATCTAATTAAGTACTTTGTGCAAATGGCCTAGGTGTGAAATAATTTCAGGGGGAATTGGTCCCAAAATCACTTAATCATTCAAAGACACATCGGAAGTTTATAAAATAAATGAAAGATACGATAATTAATGTAATTTTAAGATAATTAATATAATTTTAAGATAATTAGTTTTACCTTTAAGAACACTACTAGGAAATGTATGTATATGATGTTTTGTGCATCAATTTCACAATCATTTTGATACAATTGTCTATAACTATAATCTTATAAATGTTTTACTTTTTTGTACGAAGTGATCATATAATCAAATTTGTAAAATACTTACCTACACAAACAACAAATACACCAAAGTAAACAATATACAACAACATGGTACCTGATGTGAATGCATACACCTATGTACATGTACACAGACACTGCACCTGTTGAATTGTACTAATGATAAATAATTTTACGGAAATACTGAAACACATGGTATTACACGTCAGGTGATTTGATGTTACAAGTAATAGCTTTTCTAAAAAGCTTGTCGTCTTATAGCTGATTATATTGAACATTATTATTTGTATTGTAGTCTCATCCATTCAAAAATAGTTCTTTGCATACCAACTGTTGGTAGGAAATCTGGCCTAGAAGGAAGGCCAATGCAGTTTTTAATGTGTATAATTTTCTTTTTGTGTGTGCTGATTTTTAATTACTTGAAAGATGTCAGTAATTTCTAAACCACTTTTTTTTCTTTACTTATTTCCGTAAACATTTGTAGGTATAGTTTTTCTTTTAAATAAATTTTTCAGTATGCAGGTTATTGTATACCCTTTTGTTTATAAAATTTGTGTCATTTTATTCTATGTCTATTTCATTCATTGAGACAAATACCCTATGGCAGAGTATGTAAAAATTGCATCGGCATTCACGAGATTTATACCACTTGAATTGCCCTTTTAATTCAAATTACCTACCTTGGTATTTGGTTTAAAGCTTATTAAATTTACGGATGATTAAGTCTTTACAAAAAACAAACTACAATGTCATTGAAACTTCCTTTCGCATATCTATGAATATTTTGTATGTTCTGAGAAAGATGCTTAAGAATGGACGGTTAACGCTATGGGAAACATGAAAATTCAAATCGTCATATTTAAAAAGATTCTGACCGAAAAGTTCAGAAATAAATGAAATAAAAGTCGAAAGACATAAAAACCAATTGTCTAGTGATTTATATACTGAACAATTCATTTAAATTGAAATTAAAAATGAATATTTGTATTCATAGATATTTATCTATAGGGTCCTAACGTGTGTTACTTTCTAGTAATAACTATGACCGAAGCTGAAGCGTATTATCCACAGATGCGATTGAATCTATTGTCATACAAAATTTATAAAAAATATACCTGGATGGATTTCTTATCTACTATACAAAAATGAATAGACAAGACGGTCATGTCTTCAAATGATTTATTGAAGGGGAGATTATAAGTACAAGCAGTACAAAAATATAGTAAGAGAAAATGGAGAATGGCTATTAATATTTGTATTCATGAAGAATCAAGTCAGTTTGTATAGAGGTTTAATTGGATCACATATTGAACGGTCTGTTAAAAGATACGTCCAGAAACATCTCTATTGTACCAGTTATATTCAGAGGCCTCTAATCCGGTGGTTGTTAGTGGTTGCAGTCTACCAAAATTTTTTTTCAATTATTATTTAATGTGTTCCAAAATTTGTTTAAAAGTGGTTTTATCAGGTATTCCTTTTTTGATACATAATGGATTTTCAAATATTTTGGCCTCGAGCATCACTGACGAGACATTAATTGCCGCATCTGGTTCAGTATAATTGGTACCGTTAATGTTATCACAAGGATAAATTACTATATCAAAATCAAAAGCTTATTATGTTTACCTATACAAATATGCAATGCATATGCACATATTCATATTGTATTATGACAGCCCCCAAAGGGTGACTGGGGACAGAAATATGGTCACCATTGGTCTTCCTCCGACCGGCAGTAAAACCCTCACCGAAGTGAGGCGTCCGTTTAGCTGTGCGGGATGTACAAGTTCGCACTCACGTCCGGTCAGAATGAGGACGTTAAACCCAATGCCTCGTGTCAAGAGAGTGCCACGCTCTTTGCACGTTAAGAACCGTTGCTACAACTCTATGAGGGGTCCGCAGGTGGCCTGTTGCAAGGCTTAATTTCTGTCCCTATCCAATATTCCCTCATTTTCCCAAATTTCCCCGACCTTCATCCCGGAAGGCCTCTATAAGCAACAAACAATTAGTCAATTAATCATTTATTACGACAAACAAAAAAATAAATTTGTTATGATAATCTGAATGTTGGCGATATATATAGAATTACCATATATTTTCTCGAAATATAGAATTTATTTGTATAAGGCTTAGCAGATTATGTCTATCCTGTTTTGATCCGAGTTCAAATAAAATTCATATTTCGCGACAATGAATTTTGTTGTCTTTGTAATGCAACTGCTACACTGGTTCCAAATGAAATATTTAGTACAAAAAAAAAATCCATTAAATACATCTCCTTATTTTTATATTAAATACGACATTAGTTTACCGATGTTCAGATTAGTAAGAGATAAATCAGAGCAACACACATACACTGAGGGAAAAACATGAACTCTAAAAAGGAGCGAGACCTGGTGCGTTGACAGGGTATCGTCTCACGCAATGCATTCATCACCCACCTTCAATTTTGAATTTGAAGCGTACGAAGATAAAATCAGTGAACCTGTATTGTTTGTTGACGTCATGAAAATAAAACTCAACGGAAACACATTGTCAACGTCACAAACAAGGCAATATAGGCCAGTGACTGTATAAATCAAAAATTGATATGCGGTCAGTTCAAATTGACTAATTAAAAGGCATAGTTGCAGTATTAAAAAAAAATCATTATTCCCATTACTGATTAAGTAATGAAATGATAAAAGCAAAAATGAAAGCAATTTAAGTTGAATACAATATGGATTAATTCACATTCTGTACAGTTAGATTTTTTTCTCGTGAGGGTTTAATTTTCGCTAATTTGAACTTAAGATGAATAAGTTTCCTTAAACCTAAGCAATAATAAAATCTTTAATGAAATTCAACATCACGGACAAGACAGAGAAATATGAAAAAATAAAACCAGACATTGACTAGATAATTGAAGCACCAATTTTAAAGATTTCTGAAAGTTTTGTTTATACTATGTATTTGGGCTTGACCGTGCTCTGAAAGACCTTGGTTGTGGTTAATAATATAGAATAAAGATGTCTATGTGAAATTATAACTCATAGATACAAGAGTTTTAGATACACATGAACAACTCATATTATTTTTATCACCAGACACCACTGACCAATTAAAATCAACGTTTGGTTATCCTTCGAGAGCATCTAAGATCACTACGGTTTTGGCGGCCTTCGTGTTTCTCAATTTTCAGGTTGTGTATGTACTTTTTATAGATTTGTTTGTCATTTCTTTTTAAGCCATAATTTTATCAGTTGCTCTTCGACTTTTGAGTATTCAATTTGGTTCTCCCTTGTTATCTTACGCCTCTTTTTTTTAAATTCTCTTCTATAACTAAGAAATACTCATAATAAGGGAACACCAAGAATAATCTAAACTTTAATTCAATCTCTTTTATTTTTAAATGCAATAATCTCATCAGTATGGACACTTTGAATAACCGCAAGGAACAGGTTCTGGACGATTACATTGGTCTATGTTAAAATACCTAAAGTATCTTGGCTTTGATGTATACCCTGAAATATACATAGTATAAAAGACATTAGTATATCATTATAAATTTAAGTTTACATTGAACACAAATCGATAAGATTAACGTATTCGTTTATATATCTTAATAATGAATTTTCTTTTATGAGAAACACATAAATATTTACATGCATTATTGTTTTTAACATTACAGTAAGATTAATTAACGCTAACTGCCAAAAACAATTGTATTCACTGCATTGTATCATGCATGCTGGTAGATAAAGTTTGAATTCAACAAAAACTGCTGTCATCACAACTATTTTAAATTCGCCATCAAGGATTGGTCGATCATTATTAGTTATACAACGAATAAGTACAGCTTTTCGTGCTGTTTTGTTTTCTTTTGTATATTTTGAGAACTTTTTTGTATAATATTTGTAAAATCAAATAAAAATAATACTTCTTAAACTTGATATTTTAAGCGCTTTTCAGGATTTACTTTATCAATTCAAAAATAAGGAGATGTGGTATGATTGCCAATGAGACAACTATCCACCAAAATTTAAATGAAGTTGGTATAAGCACTTATAGGTAACCGTACGGCCTTCAACAATGAGAAAAAAAACCATACCATATGGTGGGCTATTAAAGGCACAAACATGAAATATTGAAACAATTCAATTGAGAAAACTAACGGCCTATTTTCAGAACGTTTAAACCGAAATATTTTAAAGGCAAGGGTTTATATGCAGCATACGCGAAGATCTATATGTGTCAAAAGGGACCCTAAAAAATAGCCATCAATATTTCAGTCGGAACAGTCTGAGGAAGTTGAAACTGGTGTTTCTTATTAACTTCTAAAGGAGTAGGTTCACTAACTCACAATTTTGGTCCTTAAATCTTTTAGAAATTTTTAATTGCAATTATTTGAATATTTGATGAAAACATATGTTTAAATGTTCAACTGTTTCAGATAAAATAGATTTTCACCAATTGCGTGATTAATTATATATTTGTGACGTCACAAATGTAGATGAATTTCGTTAAAACCTTATTTTTTGCATAATTTGGCAAAATTTATAACAGTTTTCTGACAAATTAACAGTGGTGCAAACTCTCACTTACTAATATGGTTGCTGAACTATTTTCTATTTACCATAATTTTAGCTTTCAAGCAAAACTTCAATTGGCGAGATGTGGCGCCACATATACAATCATGAAAAAGGTAAAAAAAAGGTGACAAATTTCTAGAAATTTTACCAAAAGTAGATACACAATTTTACCTATTAAATTTTCAAAAATGCCATATTTAGCAGTGCATACACAAAAGATTTACTCAAACAATTGAACTTTAAAAAATACATCTTTACAGGGCCGTTTGTTGGGGTTAGTCTTCTGCTCCTTTATCAACGACGAATGTATAAAAGGAATGTTATAAATCATGTCACGTGTACCGAAGCACTGGTAACAAAGATGATGACTATCTCCGTGACAAGCAGTTTAACAGCAGCGGTGTCGACCTGATGCTTGTAAATAAAAATAAAACAATTAATACGTTTGGTGCGCTCAAAAGAGTTTATCTGGTTTTAAGCTCTATTATATAAAAATAAGAAGATGCGGTATGATTGCCAATGAGACAACTCTCCACCAGAGAACAAATGACATAGAATTTAACAACTATAGGTCACCGTACGGCCTTCAACAATGCGCAAAACCCATACCGCATAGTCAGCTATAAATGGTACCGACATGGCAAATGTAAAACAATTCAAACAAAAAAACTAAGGACCTGATTTATTTACAAAACAATAAACGAAAAACGAATATGATATACTTCAACAGACGACAACCACTGAATTACTGGCTCCTGACTTTGGACAGGAATACAGAATGGACAGGATTATAGATATGTATAGATAAAAAATATGCCCTGAAATTGACCATGTACCTTTGACCTTAAACACTAATTGACTGGAGTTACGTACAAGAGTTAATTATACAAGAATATTCAAGATGATAAGATACTGATTTTATCAAAATATACTATACATGCAAAATTTGAAGATTTTGGTCCATTTCAAATCCGGAACGCACAGAGTAAGTGTTGCAAATAGTTCATATTGATCAGAATCTAGAATGTGCAAAATGGTTTGATATATCAGAAAACATAGCCACATAATTTGATTGGAGGAAAATCCTCATATTTGATAATTAAAACATTTTAAAATTGATATAAACCTCTGACGATATAACATCTTCCTTCTGTCATGCCATCAAAAGGTCCACAACCGGGATCTGCATTTGCGAGTGTTTCCAGTCTTGCCATTGGTTGACGACTCCTTCCACTATACGGCTTCTTTTTCTTGTCGTTCTAAAAATAAAACTAAGCAGTATTCAAAATTGATAGAATTTTGTTATGACTGATTGATCTAGTTCTATTGTTTTATTATCTTCGAATGTTACCTTTAATTGTATGTTCTGCAATATTTTTCATGCTTGATTTAAAGATAGTACTTATAGAAAAGTCCTTACGAACATTGCATATGCATTAGTGATCCTCGGCATAAAGGAAGATACCAAAAGCAGAAACAAATTTCTAATGAGAAGAAATATAGCAAGTATCAAGACAAAAAAATTAAAACGACGAAAAGACAACTAAAAGTCTACAAAACACTACATAAAAAACTAAAGAATGAGCAACCTTAACTCCAGAAAACCTAGGGTAATATCAGATTCTTCGAAAGGGTAAGCATTTCATCTTTCACATGTGATATCCGTCGTGTCGCTATTGTTAATACTAATTCGATGTTACGTCTCATTCTGTGATGTCACAATGGCAAAAATAAGACTGTCAAAGGACATAATATAATGATAAGAATGAAGTCAAAATAGTAAAGGTTTTGATTACTTGTTTAAACTTTTTATTGATCTAACATACAATTGGGCATTGGTAAATATTTCACCAGCAATTGATTTGCACCTGTACAACGATCATAAATGCTTAACACGCTTTTGTGTTTATATCTCTGACACTTTGATACATATGTTGCGACCACTGGATTTGATATTACATGTTTATAATTTGTTTTTCCTCATATGTCTGAAAACATCGGCTAGAGCAAAAAGGGGATTACTTTGACTGAAACACGAAAGCCATAATTCATATCCCTGTATCTACATTTCATAGAAAGTATATAGTAGATCTGAATACTATGAAGTCATATTTCAAAGGCACAAGCACAAACATAAGTTACATAAAATGTTCTACTGCATCGATGTTCACTATGCTCAACGTGATACAAAGTCTACTAATTTAGGAAGTACATTCCAAGATGATATGTTTAAGTGAGATTTGTGATTCACATCAATCGTCATTGCTCAAAACACTCCACCAATTACTAATAAAACACAAAATATTATCTGTACCCGTCCACGTCCACTTTGTGTTTTGTTGGATGTATTTCTATTTGTATCCATCTGATAAATTAAACCTTTTTCAACTGATTTTTATAGTTTGTTCTTATGTTGTACTGTTACACCACTGTCCCAGTATAGGGAGAGGGTTGGCGCATTCAAACTAGTTTAATCCCGCCACATTCTGTATGTGCCTGTTCCAAGTCAGAAACCTGTAATTCAGTGGTTGTCGTTTGTTGCCATGTTTCATATTTGTTTTTCGCTAATTATTTTGTACATAAATAAGGCCGTTATTTTTCTCGTTTGAATTGTTTTACATTTGTAATTTCGGGGCCTCGGTATGGGCTTTGTTCATTGTTGAAGGCCATACGGTGACCTATAGTTGTCATTTTCTGTGATATTTGGTCTATTGTGGAGAGTTGTCTCATTGGCAATCATACCACATCTTCTTTTATTGGTAAGAAATATTTATCACCAAGAAACACTTCGAAAACTAAATATATTGTTATTTTTTCAAGAAAGTTTAAAAGAATAAGAGGAGAAAACAAAATTTTGACAATAAAGTGTCAGAAAAAAAATGAAATTGAAAGTGATAAAAGGACTATGTCATCATATTCTGATAGTGAATGTGTTTATCTTTAACTAATTTGATTCAATTTTCATCATGTATTTGGATTTTGCATTGATTGACTGAAATTCAACTACATACTTATATTCAAAACTCGTAAAACATTTTGAAATCACAAGCAAAAGGGAAAACTCGAAGTAATACGCCATTGGACACAGAAATATTGTAAGTCTGAAGATCTAAATGATTAGAACATTTCTATCGTGAGTTGACCACAAAACTTCAATTTCAGTATTTCAGTATTTTGTTCTCATAACCCTGTTGGAAAAAAATATATATAAGGAGCATATACACTGTTCATAAACTTCATATCACTTGAACATGCAAGCTTGTGACGCACAAGTAGAGAAAGACTCAATACATCGTGGTATAGGATATGTTACTGCTGAGAAATAGCACGCTGAAAATTGGAAATATGAAGGCACGTTAGCCATACATCCCAGTGTGCAGGCATGTCTTTTGTTTACAAGTGCGTACTATGTCTATTGATAAAACATGTACATTAGTTTTCAATGATTTGTGTACTTAAGTATAACTGATCACTTACCTGACAAACCCGTAAAACGTCAGTATGAATAGAAACATAACCATGACGTCTGTGGCCTGGTGGTCTATAGTTCTTCTTTACCAATTTGATAACGAATACTACAAGATAAAGTATTGAATATGGCATTATATATCTCATTCATTTACAGTGATCACATTGGCGGTAAAACATTGTATGATATCAATTTGATGCTTAAGGTGTAATACCACCATTGATTTTCCCCTATTAGTCTTTGTTAAATTTGCACTTTTCAAAAAATTGTGCAGAATTTATCTTTGTTTCAAATAAAGAAATACTTGGCATGAGTAAAGTTTTATCCTGTCCAGTACTATAGAAAAAATTTCACATAACATTTCATTGCATATAAGAAAATAACCATCACTGGAAGTTAACCAATCAAATTTTCCCCCTTTTTTAACCTGTGTACAAGCTTTAGTAACCATGTAACCTCAAGTTTCCAAAATATTCTATAGAAACCCCAAATAAAGAAATAATGGTGCTTTGAAATACCCAAGATATATGTTTATGACTCAGAAATGTTTTACTGCAATGAAATGTAGGATCAATTACCTACAACTGTCAAATTCAAGGGAATATTTTTTTTCGACCTATTTTCGTATGCAACCGGATGTGACATACTATGATTTGGTGGTATTACACCTTAAGGGGTTTATTACTGGTTTTTCACAAAATATCAAGCGTAAATGATTAAGGTAAAGACGAGGTAAACTTAACCCCGAGGTTTTTTTTCGATTGGAAATATTCTCTGAGATTCCACGAAATTACGCACAAAAAGTCATGTCAACGATTTCAATCCTAACTTTTCCCTTAATAGTAATAACGTTTTTGCTTAAAGATTTATTCTACGGGCGATTTGTTTCATTTTCATTGGATGTGAACATTATAAAAAAATGGAAGAGAATTTTGGGTGGATATGGAGTTGATAACAATTGCTACTGATGAGTTTAATTGTACAAAATTATCAGCCTTGTATCTTTGATTGGTTTCTGTTCATTATTAAGTCATTTTCTGGAAACTTAACTTGCTGGTTATTTTGATTATTTTTAAGACATCAGTAAGACCCGAAAACGAATGAAGGAAATACTCATTAGCATAATGTGCGTAATACTTAGACAATTTCTTTTGCGGTTACAAACACAAAAACGTCTAACAAAAGGAAAATTACAATTGAAAATAAAATCCTCAAGGGTGAATTTAAAAAGGGGAAATCAATGAAACTTGACGTATATGTGTCTGGCGTACACAATTTCAATCCTGGTATCTATGATGAGTTTTTCTTTTATATCAACCAACAGAAGGAATGGAAAACAACTGTCATATATTATGATCGTTAGTTGAAAATATGTGTCTGGCTCTCGAATATACCTAGTGACGGTTTTTCAGTAGACGAATTACTTGTTATCACAGTTTTACATATACTTAAATTTGCTTCACACAATAACATGTCTAAATTATACGGTATGAACTGATATTGACGTTTTGTTTGTTTTTACAATTCAATAAAAATATTTTAAAGCCATAACATTATACATAAATGAGAGAAGAAGAAAAGACGTCTGGAAAAAACAAAAAAAAAACAAAAAAAAAAACAAAACGCTTTGTACGAAATTTCTGATCAAGTTCAAAGTTAAGAAATATATTTCTCAGCCTATGTAGAATGAACAATTATTTAAAGTAATCTAAAAATGAAAATTAAATTGTAATTTAGGAGAATAAAGGCAGATCTAATAACTTACCAAAGTCTACTCTCCTATGAGGTTTTTTACATGGGCAATGTTTTTGATAGTAATGACTTCCTCCTCCATGTTGATGTCCTCCTTTATAATAGTCTTTACCGTGATCAGGCTCTCCTCCTCCATTATGATGGCCGCCGTTATAACCGTTATAGTCATTACCTTGCCCTGGATCGTCACTACATTCATCGGGAGGCGTTGCACTCGGCAATGTATATGCAGTCACCTCAGCAAAAATCACAAAGAAAATGACTGTAACAGTTCTTGACATAATTGTTTTCTATTCCGACTACAAAATATTTAATGCACATTTAATTTAACGTATATGGTACACATTTGTTTGAGAAATAATTGCTTTAAATGTAGTTTTGTAGGGTTGTAAAAGCGTTCAGCGAAGCATATTTAGCACGAAGCACGGATAATATCGTTTAATTACACACCTGGTGTATGAACAATTAAGATATATCCTACTTGAGTGCATCACTCGTCACACGCGAACGATTTATGGTGTCTTTTACTCACAACAAAATTATGTTTATTCATTAACTATTGCAATTGCATGTTGAAAAACTGATCAAGATGCCAAGCTTCTTTTTATTTAACCTGTTAGAGTTCACTTAAGCCAGAGAACTATCCAGCTAATATAATTTATCATGAAATGTTCAAATTTAGTGCCTATACTCTCTTATATTAATTTACAAAAATATGTATTCGGCTCAGATATATAATATGATTTTCATATAGATAAACTAAGCATTGTGACTAAATAATTGAAAATAATTCTTGTTTTTCTGTGATTTTATATCCAAATATTACGTGTTGGATTTTTTTTACAAAATATATGGTACTTCTTTGCTTTAGACAAGATTGACTATCTGCCAAAATACTATGAAATATGAACAATAAAAATGTCATTTAAAGTTTTTCTCCTATTTAAGAACACAGAAGAAGAAAACCCAGACCGTTGTTATCTATTTGTATCCTTTAAGATTTTGTGCTTTTGTTGTAATAATATACTGTTATAAGTTTCCATTTAAATTTAAAAAAAAATCATTTATTGTCACATTTTCCCGAATAAACTCTTATAATTAATCTATTTTTGGAGTTTCTTGTTTGTCTAAAGCTTGTTGTCATCAGATCATCCCTATTGATGACTCTATTTTAGTAATTTGGTCATTTTTATTATTATTATTATTATTACTATAATTATTATCTATTATTGTTTGTGCTGCTGATCAAAGGTAGTATATATTCAATGTTTCTTGTTATGAGCCATGCATATGCATTAATTACCCATCCCTTGTATAAAAACTGATGCTATTTGATACCGTATTTCTGACTATATTTTTATTTGTACTTATCCTACTTCTTTGTTACTCTAAAATGAACGTTACTATGCAGGACCACAAACCTGTGCACATTAAGTTTCATGACGTCATGGGACACATATCTGAGGAAAGGACATAGTTTTGAGACCGGACATCTATTTCATGTTTATGAACAGTACTGTATTCACCACAGTGGACCAGTTTCAAAATGATCTTAATGATTGAAAATTAATTGTTCAGTCCAAAAGGGATAAGGAGACCAGTGCGTCTACAGGGTAAGCCTGAATTACTCGCCATGTGATTCTGTTATGAGTCAAAATGTCAAAATAGGAAATAGGACACACTCAGCTAATACACAGCTTAGACCAATGTACTTGTCTCTAAAGATGGAAGACCAATATAACATGAGTCTTGTGATTTCAGTCGTCGTATGAATCAGCCAATTCTTGTGTTGACTGTAAAACTTATGTTTTGTTGATTTAAGTCGATAAGCAAGCATTTGAATAATAACTTGTGTTTTGAATAAAAATAAGTTTCTACTATTTTCCATATCAATCATACATTAAAAAATACTTGATAAACTATGCATAAAAAAGTTTCTTAAGCAATGTACCACATTTTCAATTGAAAGAATATACAATCATACTTTACCTTAAAGAAGTGCAGAATATGCAACTGTCAGGTCTATATCAACAGCAGCAACCAGCTACTTTTATATGCCAGTACCTTTGTTTAGTCTATTCTCTACACGGTAACAGATGGGAATATAAAGGTAATCAAACGGTTCGTGAACCGGTGAATATTTAGAAAAAAATGTAAATATTATTTTTTTTCCATGATGACTTGTTCTTTCGACCTTTTCCATATTCATGTTACAAGTAGTTCATTCTTCTTTTTTATATTTAAAAATTTCCAAATTTTTCAAATAAAGTTACACGCAGTCATTTTAACTACTTACTGCTAATTCCGCTTCAACACCAAAAGATTCAAACGACCATAATTGAAGACGTAGGTGGACACTGAATAGTATTTGTCGAATCATGACTCTTCTTTCTCCATATGCATATCGAATAATTGGTAGCAAATGACAAAAAATGTCACCCGTAACAAAGTTTATTATTAGTAAGTAAGAATGTATAATTATTCAATAAAGAAAATATTGATGCTTAATTAACATATCAGTACTATTTAATTAGGTAATTTGAAAAGTTACCAAGATGACAATTCAACACCATAAGTATTAGAAAAACAAACAACCCATCGAGCAAAAATAGAAATGACAGAAACAAGCCACAGCCTACAAATACTTCACAGGAAACTGAAAATTTTGCGACACGAAAATCACCTGAAATTGGAGGTATATTCAGATACTCCAGAATAGCCAAACCCGCTACGTCATTAGTCAAGAACAGAGAATAAAAAAGTACCCGATCAAAAGTTCCCGGTAAGATATACAAACACCAAAGATAAGCAAACCCAACAAAACAATCAAGCTTTCATATGAACACATTTATTGTATAAGTTAATAAAAACCTGTTTTACTTAAGGGGGATGGGGGTGGGTGGGGGGGGGGGGGGGGGGGTGAGGTGGGGGGGGGGGGGGTGGTCAACTAAACAGGTGAACATTAGCAAAATGAGTATGTTAAATTTGATGTAAGCCTTTTTGTGCTTCTTTGTTACATTTTTTTGTTTTTATAGTGATTAAGATGATAACACAATGTTGGCTGCTGTACCCCTATTTTTGACATTTTTACCTATTGTGTCGGTTTGTTTTGTTCACGCATCGTTGTCAAAATAATGGAATTTGATGCGACTGTCATACAAGTGAGAGATTTATCTAGCTATAAAACCAGGTTCAATTCACCATTTTCTACATAAGAAAATGCCTGTACCAAGTCCGGAATATGACAGTTGTTATCCATTCGTTTGATGTGTTTGAGCGTTTGATTTTGCCATTTGATTAGGGACTTTCCTTTTTGAATTTCCTCGGAGTTCAGTATTTTTGTGATTTTACTTTTTAGAAATACATTAAAAAAATATAGCTGTTATATCCTTGGACAGATCTTGAAAGTCACACAAGAGCAGTTTTAAACAGTTCTATCCCTTCACATTTCACATATCTACCGTAGAAAGGTTTTTGAAAGTTCTAGCCTAGATCATATTCTGGTAGTTCTAACCATTAACAGTTATATGAACGATTTGTCTTTCAGCTCTAAAGAGAGGTTAGAACTGATCCCATCTGTAAACAAACATTTACTAATTAAAACTAAACCACATGTATAAATTTATGAGAAGTGCAATGTCAAAGTTTTTGGTCAGGTAGTCTCACAGAGAAATCGATATGGTCTTTGTAAATACTTTCAATTAAGAATTAATTTTCAAATCTTGCAAAGTCATGAAATTTGCTAATACTGGCTTTTTTAAATTGTGTTCTTACTTGATTAGAACTGTTCTACCCTGAATAAGTATTAGATACAGAACAAAGATAAAAAAAAAGGCTTGTAACAACAGTTGCCGTATAGGTTTTTTCTGCACGAGTAGTCAGGCCAATGTCCGAGGTTTTGGAGACCTTTCAAAGTTAAAAGAAAAAAATAAAAAAAAGAATAGTCTAGTAGTTTAGAAGTAAGTTAATGACCTCTATGGTATCCATTTTATGCTTCGATAACAAATATATTGCCAAAAAGTGTGATTGGGTGGGGCGGTGGGGTGGGGTAGGGGTAGGTGGGGTTGGAAGGAGTAAAACATAGTTTTGCCCCACACTCTTTAAAGTGTGTGGAGCCGGTATTGTCCCCTTTCCCCATTATGATTCGTTCATCCTATTTCGAATCTTCAAAATTTAAGAGTCTATCCTAAAATGAGGTAAATTATATGGCCTTCCAAATACCGTTTCGATTCCTAATAAAGGCAACAGTAGTATACCGCTGTTCGAAATTCATAAATCGATTGAGAAAAAACAAATCCGGGTTACAAACTAAAACTGAGGGAAACACATCAAATATAAGAGGAGAACAAAGACACAACAGAAACACTAAAATGCAACACACACAGAAACGAACTATAAGATAACAATAGCCATTTTCCTGACTTGGTACAGGACATTTTAAGAAAAAATGGTGGGTTGAACCTGGTTTTGTGGCTAGCCAAACCTCCCGCTTTAATGGCAATGTTAAATATAACACTAAAATGACAACATTACATGACAAGACTACAATACAAATAAATGGAAGAACATACAGGACAGAGAAACACACACAAATAAACAATACAATAGAACATTACGACAAGCTAATAGTTATCAAAGGTGCCAGGCCTAAAGATGAAGAGCATTGATGACCCAAAATTTCAAAAAATTGTGCCAAATACGGCTAGGTTATCTGCCTGGGATAAGAAAGTATTTAGCATTTAGAATGATTCATATTTTTGCCAACAGTAAATTTATAAAATATAAAAATGACCAAATAACTGATATACATGTTAACACCGAAGTGGTGACTAACTAAAGAATAAAAACGAATACGTAAAACAACCTAGATCAGCACATAAAAACAGCATAGCCGAACAAAGAATGTCAGCCGGATAGATCGACGCACAAAAATGACGTCACAGGTAAATTTCTGAGAATATTCAAAAAATAGGATAGAGTTCAAGATTAGGTTTGTAATACTGATATTACATGTTTTTAATAACAATCAAAATAACAATACTTATTAATATAAAATTGTGTAAGTAATTAGATAATTAATTGTATTATCTAGCTATGTCGGTATTTCTCCTAAATCAAACTGAAAACCAAATACACAGTGTAAGTTTAGTTGATCCAAACTAAAATCTTATAAATGAACTGGGTGATAAATTATCTTTACACCCACACACGAATAGAACAGAAAAAGTAAGAATTACAACTACAAACGATAAGATATTTGACAATAACAAATATAACATCAAAACTAAATACAAGAATTTTGGATAGCAAAATACCGTGACACGTCTTATAGCAATGCGAATTAACACTCAGCAAAACAGT